GCAGGGGAAAATAAGGAGGAAGTGTTGCCCTACATACAAAAGCAATGTACACGCTTGGAGGTATGGTGCAAGTGGAAGGTAGGACAGTTTAAAGCTTCTGGGTAAAGGTCAGAGAGGAGAGCAGCAGGGGAGATGTCATGGTTGACCTCCAAACCAGGAGGAAAGAGATGGACAAGGCCTTCTTTAAACAACTGAGGGAAGCTTCCAAATCACAGGGACTTTGTTCTCATGAGGGACTTCAATTAGAAGAATGTTTGCTGGCACAGAAACACAAAGGGCACAAGGAGTCCAGCAAATTCCTGAAGTGTGTTTGAGATACGTTTTTGGTACAGATGATAGAGAGACCAACTAAAAAGGAAACCTCTTCTTGACTTACTGCTTGTAAACAGGAGGAATTGGTTGAGAATGAAGGTGGAAGGTGACTTGGGTGGCAGTGAACATGACATGATAGTATTCAACATCCTAAGAGGAAGAAGGAAGAACAGCAGAATAAGACTGGACTTCAAAAAAAGCAGACTTCAACAAACTCAAGGAACTGGTGGTCAAGATCCATTGGAAGGCAAGTCTATCCAATGCAACAGAAGAATGGGAAATGCAACAGAAGACCAGCTGGGCTAGACAGCAATCTCTTCAATGAACTGACATTTTAAAAATGGTGAAAATGATATAAAAGCCTAAAAAGCCTATAAAAAGTGAAAATGTAGTCATTATACTAGGAAAGAATATAAGAGTATTGCAGGGTTATGCAAGGAGAAAATTAGGAAGGCCAAGGTTCATTTTGAGATGCAGCTGTCAAGGGAGATTAACAAAAAAAGGAGGATTCTACAAGTATGTCAAAAGTCAGGGGAAGGAGGCATACTTAGCCATGTTAGTCTGAAATCAAGTAGAAAGCAAGGTATATTTGCACCTTATAGACTAACCGAATTATATTTCATGTACGTTCCAACAGCATCCTGGGTTGTATTAACAGGAATGTCACTTGCAAACAGAGCTGGCCCTAGCGGGGTGCAGGACCTGGGACAAATCAGCCTGCGCGGGGCCCCCTTAGCACTGCATGGGGCTGTGGTACCCCTGCAAAGGGGGTGGGAGGTCTCCATGCTTCTTTTATGGCACGGGGCTGAGTCGTCAGCTCCAGGTGGACCCCACAGGAGGTGCCACGGCTGCTCCGCCTGACTCCGTGGGGTCCCCCCAAAGCACGGGGCCCAAGGCAGTCACCCTGATTCAACCTATCCTGTCTAACATGTCTAATTCCTTAGAGGAAATGAAGGCTGAAAAGAAACAAGAACTAATTCTAACTTGTGAGACTGATACAAAATAACAAAAATACAAAACAAAAATAATTCAGAGCAAATAGATGCCCAAATTCTCATACTAGTACAGCAGGGTTTCTTTCATAACATCAATATATTACCAGATAGGGAAGGAAAAGAAAAGAAACCCACAACCCAAAAAGAAAGTTTCAGTGCAGTCAGGAACTGGCACTTCTATCTTCTGTCTTGCTGAACTTTGGGTACATCTCCCCCTTTCGGGTAAAGAGCCATGGGATCTCACAAACAAGACATTGCACAATTGATTGCAGATTGACACTTGACAATTTAAGGGCAAGATCCAGGAAGGTGGACATCCACACAGAATAATGGAAAACAGCCCACAGGATAGCTGTCAAGTCACAGATCATTATGCAAGAAACAGAAGATTTTCATAACAAGGTAATCATTTAGAAAAAAAAATGAAATGAGGTTTGTTCTCTTCATAATATCTGTTTACATGTATAAGAGTTATGCCTCTTCTAGGCTATTTTTCTCCTGACTATACATTCCTAGTATGCCAAACTTTTTCCTCGTTGTTCTTTTTAAAAAAAAAATCCTTTATCATTCTTGGTACTGCCCTTTAGACATTTCTCCGATTTGTGGCTTTTTCTTTGTTTGTTTGGCAAATAGAAATTAAAAACAAAAACAGGACTTCAGGTGGAACTTAACCGAGAGTACTTGGTACTGGACAATTGCTTGTATTGCTACATATGAAACCCCTGCTGCTACAACTCAATAAAGCTTTTGCTTTTCTCCAAACGCAACTTAATCTTTACTACAACTTCCAGATTCATGTCTGTTCTTCTCCAGTATTTGTGCATTTCATTATTTCTTCTTACAATAAGAACCACTTCATTTTTCATGCTATGGACCTCATAATTCACTTCAGGCCATTTCCACAAGGTGTCAAAGCAAAGTTGTACTTTATTTCTGGCATCCCAAGTATTACCAGTCCTTTCCACAAGTTCGATTAGCATGCTCTTTTTACTGTGTTCCACAACACTGATTAAATTAATTACTAGATTCAAAGCAAGCAATACCACTTCTGGGACCTAATCTCCAAATTCAAATCATTAAATAATTACTTTGAATTTAATTTTAGTTTTAAACAGTCATGCAACATGACCAATTCAGAAAAGCACTTATGTGTAAGTTGTCCAATTGGCTTCAAGTTTTCATTGAAGTTAAGTGCTTTGCTTAATCGGTAGCTGGAATGACTGTTACCTGGCTAGGGTTTCAAAATATCATTATAAGCATTACCATTTCTTTCAGATGCTTATCACTGTGAAGCAATCCCCTTTCAGGTTGAAAGGTGATAGTCCTAACTTTCCACTAAAAAAAAATATGCCAAAAATGCAAACAACAATAGTTAATCTTTTAGTAAGATAGAAAGTTGAGAGGGGAGGGGGAAAAATTACAAAATGTGATGAAAGTGCTTTGTTTTCTAGTACAATTCTGTAGCTGATGTATGAAAATTAGAATTTGGTATAAAAACGCTGTCAATGATAGCGAACAAGCAGATTTTGAATCAAGGGTCAGGAGCATTAAAAACAAACAAAAACAAAACAATAAATGCACAGTAGGCAGGTGCAGAATATTGACTTCACCAAGGTTGCAGTTCTGCAAAAGCTTATGCACCTGGTTATTTTTAAGCATCCCACTCGGTTCAGTGTAACAAAAATGTTAGCATTAAAAACGCAAGTTAACTGCATGTAAATGTTTGCTGGTTTGGATCTAAATGTGCTTCTAAGAAGTTCTATGCATACATGAAACTCAGTAGTTCTACAGTGAAATGAGTAGTTCCCTATATTTTTTCCAAGGCACCCTGGATTCTTTCCAATTTCCAAATTTTTATTTTTCACAACCACAAATAAAATAAGCTAATGATCATACAAATTATTTCTAGGGAAAGTACATTGCTCTCTCACATGAAAGATATCAAGTCTACGGATATGAAGAGAAAAAGCTAGCACACATAGAAACTTATTAAAAAGCACACTCTGCATTCCATTTAGAACGCTCCTAATTAGGAATTCTGCTTAATAGAGACAACTCTTGAGGAGCTGATTTCATCTAAAGATGTTGAAAGCAATGTCTGCTACTTAATTGGCACAATATTAGGAGAAATTCTGCTTAATGCGGATGCATTTGGCTGGTACAAGTCAGTTAAATGATGCTTGAAAGTTTGAAGTGGATGTGAAATTCTAACCTCTTAATACATAAACTGCCAAAAATGGGGGGGGGGAATAAATGCAGTATATCATTTTATTCTATAAAATATTTCATGTTGAAAAAAACTGACGATGTAAAAATGAACTTCTCTCTTGGAGTTATTAAAATGCAGAGTAAAACTCTAAGCGCTCTTAAGAGAACTGTCATATGAGGACAGCTATTTAAGACCTGATCCTCCTGCTCTCCTTTTCTACTGAATTAAGGAAGGTTTTGGGGGCACAGTGAACTGCAGGCCTAGTTCCATATTTCAAACAACCTATTCACTTTAAGTAGTCTCAGTTGAAATCTACATTATTCCCAGATCTCGCCACCCCTGTCCCTCCCCCCATTTCAGGGAATTTTTTGACACATTAAAATAAATAAATAAAAGCATAGGTTATAATAAAGCAATGTGTCTCCTCTCCAGCCCTAATCTCTCTAAGGAAAGAAGCACATCCTCTTTTTCAGTGTCATGCTCTCTGCCACCATCAAATCACTAATCAAGATCACTTGCCTCTTTTCCCTTTCAACACTTGCCTTTTATTCACTGGTTATTCTGTTAGCATTAATGGTGGCTAGAAGTTCAAAATTTTAGACAGAAAACTTAGCCTTAGCTTTACATATAATTATTAGTCAAGGGCACTTTCAAGTCCTATATTGCAACCATCAGGCTATACATTTGGCAGTGCTGAAGGACCCACTTGAGGAAGATGCATTGCAAATTGGTCATTGGAATGGACCCTTACCATGGAATAGCTAGTCTGTTCAATTAAAGGCTATAAAAATATGTATAAACAACACAAAACTCCAGCTGCCCCAGCACTAACTGAGAAGATACTAAAAGACAGACTAAGTTGTCCAAGTCAAAGGGCTCTGCACACTCCTATTCTGTTTTAGAGTCTCCTACCTTCTTATTCCAAGTGTAGTCCAGCTAGAATTTTCATTTTCATGTCTTTTAGTGACTTCATCTCAAAGCCATCCTTCTCTACCTTGTAGAAACATAGACGTTCTGTAAGGTATGAAGATGTTCTATAAGGTATATAGGTGTCATGTAAAGCCACCTTTGATACTTTATAGCCATTCAAGCAGATGCTACTTAAACTTGCAATCAGTAAAGAAAAGGAAGTGTACTGGCTGAAGCCTGTCAGGGTTCAAGTATTACATTTTCTCCAAAGTACCTATTTATTTACTGTTAAGCTAGGTTCCCTGGACATCAGCAATTATACCTGCTCCAGCTTCACCACATTTTAAATAGACTGAATGTTTTCTCCTAATTCACACATAACATTTCAAAGACCATCCTATATGAATGTTAGTAAGACAAAGAATATATGTTATTGTATAAAACTATACTGTCATTACCTCCCGCAAATATGATTTCAAGACAGTATTTTTAATAGATGGTACCTAACTTTATGATAGACATAAAATGATTCATTGTACAAATACATTTACCAAAATTTATTTAAGAAAGAAGAATGCATGGACAACACTGATGTCGAATGTAATAAGGAGGTTGTTCCACCAAAAGCTATGGAATTTGTTGTATTATCAATGTATAATGGATGTAGACTGGTAGCTCCCATCAAAGCAAACATCTCTAGAGATTTTAGATAGATAGATAGATAGATAGATAGATATGAATGTTAATATTGCAAAGACGTTCTGGTTTACTTCATATGAAACATAACTCCAAATTTAAATTAAGTTGACTATCGCAACTGCAGTTTTCAATTATATCAAAACAAGGCTATACAACAACATGGAGAAGCAATGTAAACAACAAAAAGCCATGTTGACGTTTTCATCTATTTTTCCCATAGTACTTATATAGGAATACAAGAAATTAATTCCATTTTAATTTTGCAGGAATAAGGAGTTACACTTTTAAGAAAGAAAAACAAGTCTGATTAACTGATCCATAATGGAGGCTTTGTTTCTACTTTATGCCAAATTGCACAATTTACCACTGTCATTTCCAATGCAAGTAGTCCAAAGTAGAGCAAATACCGTAGATCCTCAGTGACTTGCAGTACTAGTCAGGGACCCAGTGCAAATTGTTGAATTTTGTGACTCAAGTTACTATTTTAGCAACAGAACCTATTCAAAATTTAGCCAAGACACATTATGATATATACACATCCAATTTCTGATCTACATGTTATACTGAATTCATTAATTCATTCAGATACTAACTACTTCGGCAGGTGCTTCACAAAGTAGTCCAACTGTATATTTTTAGCTTTTAAATAAAGGATTCTTAGCTACCTTACTTAATCAGCAATAAAACCAACAGATATTACAGCCAAATGTACGTGAAGAATTTCCAGTTCCCTCCAAGCAACAGATTAAGCGCCTCCTTTGGGGTGGAAGCTAAAAAGATAGCAATTGGTACCCAAGTTATCGCAAAGGATAATGTGCTAAAGTGTGCTGTGGAGGGGGCAGTGGGAGAAAAGAAATCTTTACAACATAACTCTGAAATTCTAGTTTTGCTAGTTTAACAGAAAACACAACAAAACAGTTTGTTTTAAAACCATGTTAGTTCTTAAGAGACTATCAGAGGCATGGGGTATTGATTGTTTTGGGGTAGCTTCTAGGTACCTTCTCATTTAAACTAGGAGTTTTGCTAACAGGAGACAATCCCTTCCCAAGACACAACACACAGTACAAACCACTTAAGTTACCTTCAGGCAAGCAGGAAGCTATTTAAGTCATGCAAACAGCACTTGCCATTTGCCATCTCTGATTGATTTCAGTATTAAAGGAGACACCTAAGCAGATATAAACATGCCTGCTAATTCCTGTCAGAACAGCCTGCTCTCAAATTCTCACACCTCATTAGTTCTAGTTACATAGTTACCCATAGCATGCACTCAGCACCCGCTTAACTGTTGGCACCTCATTTAGGCTCCCTACACTGTTACTCAGAGAACCTTGCCTTTACCAGCAGCTTTGAAAAGTAGTCCATTTCAGGGTTGTCAATAATACAAAACTGCCAGTGACGTAAAAGGCCGGAAAAGATGAACTGTCCACCACCCAGGTCAGACCGAACACACCAACCATATGCTGCTTGTACTGTACCAGAATAGTTAAATAACTATGAACTCCCCTAAAGAAAACTTTCATTCTAGAAGAAAAATAATTTATCCAGTTTAATTTACAGCACTTCCAAAGCAGCATAAGCTAAAAAAACAGCAAAACACATTTCTCAGACTAGAATAAGGGTGGCCACGTGGAGTATCAAAATGGTCTCTCTATAGCTATTTCATACCTTGCATTAAACCAATATAACTTCTAAGGTAGGCACATCTGAAGGGCCTGGGCATGCACACAAGTTAACAATCACTTCCAGAAAGCATGCCTTTGGCACCCAGTATGCAAATGATGAAGCTTACTTAAGAACAAACATCTTCCTAATTCCTTTGCCTCTGTCACTCCACAGATTTTTAAAAATCCTAATAAAAGACACCTGACACACTTTGAAGTTGGAACTTCCTTTTACAACTGAAGTCTGTCTATTTTAGATAAGAGAGCACCATATCTGATTTAGGAAATAAAGTTATCAGCACAATTAGTACAAGGCCTTGTACCTATTTAAGAAAGCAAGTTATGCAAACACTACAGCATTCAAATTCTTTTGTAGTTAAAACAAACTGAAGAGTTGTTGACATACCCTCTTCCCCTCAAAACCACCTTGAAACCATTTTTTACATTAGTTATTGCATGTGAATTTTCATACAAGTTTGATTAGAACTTAATTTGAATGAATTAACTGATATGTGGTCCAAAAATACCGAGAAAATCAGAAACGTTGGAATACAGTAAATACTAGGAGGCTCATCAGCAGTTAGATTAATCACGTTTACATACCTGTGGTATTTCAGGTTCCTGTGCTTAGTCATGTGTACACTCTCTTCATTTTCTCACGGAAAGAAAAATAATTTCTGCCAACTTTTGTTCTTGGCTTCTACACTGCCACCTGTAGTCATACAGGAGAAATTAGCCATATATTATCCTGTGAAGTCTATTATCACCAAATGTTTCAGCTCATTTAATTTTCTAAACAACCATAAAAAAGATGCTCCCATCTGCATAACGTTAGTTAAAATATGTAAGACTGACTTATCATAAGTACCTTTCTAATACATTCTAAGAAGAAAGTATTCCACGTAAATTCAAATGGGGGGGGGAAGAATGAGGGGGGAAATCTATAACCCCTGTATTTACTACTCTGTTGCTTCAGATACGTTATAACCTTGAATGGACAATATCCCAACTTTCAAGTATACAGATGAAACAAACTAATTTGTCTGTCTCCTTGCAGGAACATTTTATAAAGGTGCACTTTCAAGGATAAACTTTGCTACCCTATATATCGAGTAATCTAATGTCCAAAAAACAAAAAAATGGAACTAGCATGCAAAAGTGGAGGCCGCATATCTTTAAAGAAACAAACAAAAAAAACCCCTCACCTAAATCCAATTCTTTTTTATCATATCAAAAAGATCATTTTACTGTTGGCTGTCACGAATTGGACAACTGTGTAAGTGTCCAGCCCATCCACTAAATCTGTAGCCTTCAGCATTTCAACAGTAAACAAGACAAAGATGGACTGAGTATTCAAAGGCCTTGACTTCTTCATATTTGGGGGCCAGGATTAAGCACAAAAGGAAGGTGTGATCTGGAAAGATTGGCTTTCCAAAATCGTTGGCTGAGTAAGGAAAAAGTAGGTTTTAAAGAGGAAAGGCTCTTTTGGGTGGCTGCTGGTTTTAAGAGGGGCCAGCACTCCCTTGGCTCCAGGTAAGAATTACAGGTATGTTGTGAGAAAGCTTCCTTACAGCTAGGTCTTGGCTAGCAACTGCTTGCCTGGGGAGGGTGAAAAAAATAAATAAATAAAAGAGATCAAGCCATTAAAAGAGCCTAAAATGGATTCCCCCTCCCCACGCCACTGTAAGCCCCCAGCTGACAAGTGCTGCTCCTTTACCTGAAAGCATGAGGGCTTTTCCTAGGCAACATTTCATAGTCAAACCATCTTCTGAAGGAAGAAGAATCAAGAAAAGGGGTCATCCGTGAAGGGAAGCAGGATTTCCCAGCACTGGGATTCCCAGGCACACAAGCTCCCCCCATTCCAGGTGACTCCTGGCCTGAGCCTCTCCCCTTCCCGGATGAAAGGCACTGGCTCC